ATATAAACAATCAAGAATATAAACAAAACACAGTAGAAAGCAATGAAATTGGATTTCTGAGGCCAGTGCTCTATACAAGAAAGACAAGAAGACCTTGACACATTCTACTTTCTGATAAATTATCATCGGAACCCAGAAGGAGAGAGCCTACATTCTGATAGCCTTATTCATAGCACTAAGAAAAAATAGTACTGACATTCCTGTGTGGGCAGAAACAATGCCCTCAATTCTCAGACAAAATCAACACGTGGGAACAACTTTCGGATGCCAGAGGAAAATGTGAGCAACTCTAACGCAGAGTACACATTCACTCACGCTTCCATATTCTTGCAGGAACTCTTACATTTATTTTCAGACTTTAAAAATATATGTACAGGCTTATCAGCTGTATTAAACTAGCTCAATGCTAGAAATAGAGGAAGCAAATATTTCCACTCTTACTTTGCAACCTCAGAATGGAAGAAAAAAGAGGAAGTGACTTCCCCAAGACATCCAAAGAGTCAAAAGAAAAGTAAACATACATGTCCTGACTTTAGATCTATGGCTTCAACAAAACCTTACTGTATTTTTCCTTAGAGAAAAAGAGCCCTGCTATTTTAACTCACTAAGTCTATAAATGGCTTTAGCAGTATCACAAGAGTTCTATAGCTGAGTTTCTGAAGCAAGCATGTAGTATTCAGAGACTCCTTAAAACCCTTTACAATTAAAGTCTGGTACCAAAGGAGCTTCTCAAAAACCATTAGATATCTCAATGAGATAAAACAGACATATCAAAGAACAGAAGCTATCAAGTTTCTTCATTAAAAAATAATAATCCTCAAAGGTTTTTTCCCCCAAAAAATCTGAGATCTGTTTATTATAAATAGATGCTAAATTAGTAATAAACTGTAATTTTCACTAACTACAGTGAAAAATACTTCACACAAAAATTTGGAACAGATGCACAAAGACACACTAGGCCTTGCATCAAAATTAATGCCTGATTTAGCAATAAGCCTATTGTTACATAAGCTAGAAATAACATTAAAGTCAAATCATTTCTGTATTTTTTTTAATTTAACTATAATCATTCTCTAAAAATGTACTGTTATCCAATATTTAAGCTCATAAATATTGTGTTTCAAGCATTTTTATTCACTTAATATTAACATATACTCTCTTTCCTCCAAAGAATGCAAACTTCAAATAATTATTTTTTTTAAATGGTGCTGCCTTGGCTCCCTGAGAAGTCCCTTTCTTTTAATTTTTGAGGTTCAAGAAAGAATAGGATCAGATGGCCCACAGGAGAAAGAATGGAGAAAACGCCATTAAAAGTAGAGTTGAGGAAGGAAGGGATACAGATGGATATAAGGAGATCTACTTATTTATCTATATATCTACCTATTTTAAGGGAGTAATCTGAGAAGCAGAGATGATGTTAGGATACCAAACAAAAATATCTCCAAGAATTATGTTTCTTGATTTAGAAAAAATTATTAAATTAATAAACATTTATATTAAATGGTTTAAAATGGATCCTTTCATTGATCAAAGGTACTGACAGGTAACACAACAGGAAACTGCTTAACTTTCCCAATGCTCTAATCACACTTATAAAATCATATCTATAAAGACCACTGATACACATCTTAACCAATGCAGTGAATAAAAGCATCCCCTTAAATTACTGTAGTCACATAGCTATCTACCATGTTCTAAAATCTAAACAGCATTCTTGTCCTTGCTAGGTCTAGTATACCAATGACTTCATAACTTCTGGTCCATTTCTCCCCAGCTCCATTTTGCTCTATGGATCAGCTTTAATCTTCTCACCTTGGCATTTAAGGCCTTTTAGAGCCTCATCTTACTTTAAAAGGTCCCTATAAATCAGGCCATTCCAATTCCTTGAGACTTCCTGCACAGGCAAATTGAAAATAAGACATATGTACAAAAAGAAAAAAATAAACAGTAACTATAGGCATCCAAAAGCCATGACAGACATAATTTTTAATGATAGTAAACAGATGAAAACAAATTTAATCTCTCAAAGCAAATACAGTAAAAATATTTCTTTCCCACACTGCATTCATCTTCCTTGAGTGCTTGCAAGTTCATTAATAACTAGTTTCCCACAATATACTTCCCCAAATAGTCCTCAGACACCGATTCCGGTACAGAGCTAGAGAACTACAGATAAGCAGCATCAGCACATCGCCCAGTCTGTCTAGGGTCAGCACTGGAACTGGGAAACATGACAGCATTCAAACCACGCGATGGCTATCTTTGGGCTCAGCTCCTGAAGAGGAAATAACAGCAAGTCTGATGAGTATCAGACCCACACTAAAGATGCTAAGCAACCAATCAGAGAACCTAAATGGGAAGAACTGGTTAAAAGAGAAATTAACCAAAACAGGGAATACAATTTATAATGTCTGTATTGTTGTAACAGCTATAATGCCCCAGATGAATTATGGCCTGGGATCAGATCTAAAGTCACTGCCTAGAATTCCAGTGAACTGTTGTTACAGCGAAGTGTTATAAAATTTGCAATCTCAGAATGGAAGAAAAAAGAGGAAGTGACTCCCCCAAGACATCCAAAGAGTACACTGTTATAAAATCTGCTGTGGGATCACATCATTACAGTCTACTTAAATTCCATTTTGATTTGTCCTTGGTAGAAAAAAAAGTTTATTCAACATGTTTCAAGTTTATCTACTGTCCTCAGAAATTCATTCTCAAATGATATATTAAGTAAACACTTGTTAGCTGAAACACTGCTGCTTTTTAACTTTGGATACTTTCTCAACTGTGCTTTGAGTAATACAATGACTTCATTTCCCATGAATGGTAGGATCAAAGAGGGACACAGATAAGAAATTGCTTTATTTTGTACCATTCCAAAATGAGATCAGGCATCCAACAAATGAGTGTTAAACAAGATGGGGGAAGAAGCAGGTAGGCATAATGATTAATATTAGACTTTATTAAGTCAACTATGTCTGTAAAACATGTAAGGTAAGGGTCATTCCTAAGAAAATAAAAATAAAAAAGATAAAAGGAAATACATTCAAGTAAACAAAGAAAAATAAGACAACCTAAACTTAGATGACAGTATATAGCCACATATATTAGTAATCATATGAAATAAATGGCCTAAATTCACCAGTGAAAAGACAGAATTCTCAAGTGGTATTAAAAAATATAACCCCTCAAAGACATAAGGACACAACACCCATATGACTGGTCAAAGTAATGTCTTATGACAAGAAGTGCTGATGACAATGTGGAAAATCCAAACATGGTTGCCGGATGGAATTTAAATTGGCACTACCACTTTGGAGATCAGTTTGGCAATATCTGGAAAAACTAAATAAGTAAAACTTAACAGCCTAGCAATTCCATTACTAGGTGCCTACCCTGAAGAAATTATTGTACAAGTAAACAAATGTGTACAATTGATTGTTATACAATATAAACATGTTGTGCCTCAGTAGGGAGATAAACTGCTTTAGTCATTCAAAGGAATACTATACAGCAGTTAAAAAAATAAAGTAGATTTATACATCATAAAAAGACACAGGGAGAACAAGAGAGGAAAGATGGGAATGAGACTTTAGCAATGTCTTTAATTTTTTTTTTCTGGTGAATATGCAACTGTCTCTGCTATTATTTCTATATTTTTGTACTTCTAAGTATTTCATGACTTTTTTTAAAAAAAAGAACAAAAAGATTTAAACCATAAAGCACATTTTTCTGTCTTAAGGTTTGGTGATTGGAAAGAACTTCAGAGGTGGCAGTGATCTTCTAGATTATCTAAGTAATCCTATATGATATAGATGAAGTCAGTTTCTGGGCCTCAGTTTGGCACAGAGAGGTTGAGTAAGTGACTAAAGTTCACCTAACAAGTTATCAAGTTGGCTCTCAAAATCTAGATTCCCTAACTTCTAGGACAGGTAGGAAAAAGACAAGAGACATGTGGTCACGTGCAATGCAACTGAGTTAAGTTCAGAACACCATTCTATTGTTTTCCTTATTGTTCCCTTCTTCTACAACACCATTCTCTCTTCTCTCTCTCTCTCTTGGATTTAAGGATTATTAATCCTCCTTTGCCACTCCTTTTCTTGAAACAACTGAAATACCAGAACAATTATCACTAAATGAGTAAAAGAAGTTCTAGGTAACTACTACAAAGATAAAGGCAAGGACCATGAGTCATTCATCTTAGTAGTTCAACGGTGGGGTTCATGACCTCCAGAGTCAAACTGCTGGGGCTAGAACCCAGGCTCAACCACTAACTAGCTATGAAACTTTAGGCAAATTACTTACCCTACATTCTCCCATTGTATGGACATTGGCAATATCCATAATAATACCTACATCATATAGATTCTTATATTAGAATATAATTATGAGATAATCTATTCAAAGCTCTTCATAAAGCTCTTCAGTAAACATCAGCTATTAGTATATGTCATGTAAATAAACTGATTTAGCTATGAAAAGCAACAAACTCTTTTGACTAATAAAACTATAAGGTGCTAGATACTTTGAAAAAATTACATTGGTATCCATCAGCATCAGTGCTAATGAATTATAGCTTTGAAAATCATCAATGTTTTTTAATTAAAACTAAAAAAATGAGCTAGATGTTAAATCATCATCTGTCTCAGGATAAAAACACTTGGGGTTAAAGTGCTGAAATTTCATGACTCTGAAATGTCAACCTAGGGCTATCAATTCTCCAGAGGTAAAATTCAAACTATTTAACGCCCATTCAGAACAGATCCCAGACGATATATATGACCAGTGCAGACTGGCAGAGCATCAGCCCTGCTTACCCTTAAGGGTCAGGAACTATTGTTTGTAATGGAAATGCTATGTTTTTTTAATGCAAAATTGTGACCATCTAATTCACAGAAACACGAAAATGTATTCATTGTGCCATGTCACAAAGGAGGGCAGACTACACTTCTGCTTGCATTCCACACTTCACGAGAGCTCTCCCATCAGCTCTGACTCACCTCCAGGTCACAGCTGTACTCGGTGCCATCAAGGAGGGTCACTTTACACTGGACAGTTTTGGTCTTCTTGGTGGCTTTCTGAGGGGCCTTCTCTGAGTTTAGCTCATTGGTCTGTACTTCCTTTGTCTCTCTTTTTGCTGCTGCTTCGGATTTATCTTCCTGTATTTCCTTTACCTTCTCCTCCTCTCTCTCCTTCCTCACTTCTTCAGCAGGCTGTTGATGAAAAATGAAGTTTATACTAAAATTGACCAATTTGCAGAAAACAACACATTAAAAGGAAAATCGTAGTAAGAATAGTGATTGTTACAAACATTGTGAAAGACTCCAAATGTTTACTAGAAAAAAATACTTCTCCACATCTTCCTTTCCCTAATCCACTGCCAATTTCCTCATTTTTGCCAATTTGGACATTAAATGAGTAAAAGAAATACATCCTGGCAACTGCAATTTAAATATTCCAATAATAAAATTTCCAATTATAACCTCACACCATAGCAAGCCCCAGGCTTCATTAGCCAATCAAAATGCACACACATGCAAATCTATTTCTTGCTACTTGCTGGACACTGACATAAATCAAATCAAGGAGGTATAAAAGCACAGAGTATTTCAAAGGAGAGGTGACAGGATTCTGAGAGGATCTGTTTAACCTCAAAAGAAAGAGAGAAACTTTCTTATGGTGTGCATATAGAGGGGATTTTTTTCGCTTTGTTTAATTATTTGGGAAATTTTTAAAAGGAACAACAGGAGAAGGCTGTGGTAAAACACTCCAAGACCCATATCCCAGATATGGTAAGCCAAAACAGTCTTTTGATACAAGAAATCCTTAAATGATTGAGAGCAAACAAATCCTTTTTGTTACGTGGTTATACCATCAAGCTTTCATTTCCAGGCAATCACTTCTCAAACATACCTGTGTCTCAGGACTGCCCCCTGAAGGCTTCTCTTCCTCGACGTCAACTTTAATGACCTGTTGTTTTCTCTGAGCTGCTTCTTCAGCATCACCCTTGGCCTGCCTTTCTTCTTCAGGAAGAGATGCCTCTTTATCCAAAACCTGCTCTTCCACAACAGCATGGGTAGGCTCTTTCTTATCTCCTCCATCTTTGGCCACTACTAAGTTATAGGACTTTTGTTTCTTAAGCCACGGGGGTATGAATCGAGAAATGCCCCTACTCTCAGATGGATCCTTCTGCCTCTTCTGGCGGCGTGGGCTACTTTGGCTCTTAGCTGGAGGAGATGCCTGGGAATCTTTTTCCTCCTCTAGATCAGATGACTGATTCTGCTGGTTTTCTGCTACTTCTTTCGGGTTTTCCTTGGTTGCATCTGCTCCTAACTGATCAGATTCCTTCTTCACTTCAGATGCGGAGCCTACTTCAGTAGTCATGGTCACAGCTTCCGCTGTGAACAAAACAAAATCACAAAAAGGTATTTTACAATGTCTCCCAGCTTAGAGGCGAGGGACAGGGTGAAAAAGGAGGGCAAGGGGAATGACAGAGAGATGATGGGGAAAAACACCCACAGAGAAAGGAGGTTCATAAGCACAAGAGAAAAATGGAGATTGCTACTCTACCTTTGAGAATTCTCTATCAGAATCAAAGAACCAAAACTAGCATCACAATGGAATTAATTCTGATTCTGTACAGAGAACTTAAAATCATCAAGAGCTCTAGAGTGATTACTCCTCTTCAGTTTCATCTACCTATAAACAACAATCAACCCAAAATCCAATTTTTAAGAAAAATTACTTTTCTCTATACTTGGTATCCCTTCTGTATAATACAAAGTATTACTGATAATGTTAGACAGTACTGAGACACATTTCATTGAAATTTCACACATTAAAACTAAAATGTTAGGTATTATAAATATTAATGTTAAATATTGGGTGCTTAATAGCAAGAAAATTTTATCGCTAATGTACATACTCTTTTTTCTCCCAATATTAAATCCCATAATTCATCACCACTATTTCAATGCAAAAGATGTTCTTCTGGGAAAGGTACTCAAACTATGACCAAAACTCCAAACTCTATCCCACCCAACCGTGAACACAGTTTTCTTTGTGTATGTGTTTACAAGAAAATATCTAGGGACCCCTAAGGGGAACCAAATGAAGACATTATACAGGTGAAAAAATGCATCTAATAATTGATCCCATCACAACTAATGAAAACAAAACTGAAACAACTAAATCTGAAAGTAACTGGTTCTCCACATTTTACACAAGCAAAGAGGGACTTTTAAAGCACAGCAGCACCACTGACATAAAAAACAATAGGCAGGAAGGCAGAGATAAAATGTTCTCTCCTCTCTTACCAATGATTAAAGAGCTGAAAGGCTGGCACCCTGGCCAAGGGGAAATTTCCCAGCTATCTTCAAAAGTGGTACAAACTTGAACAGTTCAAAAAATAAAATAACCTTTTTAAAGCTTTATTGAAATATCATTCACAGACCATAAAACTTACCCTTTTTCAATTATATAGTTAATGGTTTTGAGTATATTCATAAGGTTATATAACCATTACCACTATCTAATTCTAGAATATTTTCATCATGCCAAAATGGAGTAGGAGTCACTCTCCATTCTGTCCTCTCCCCCAGTCCCAGGCAACCACAATCTACTTTCAGTCCGTATGCATCTGCCTACTGTGCACATTTCAAAGAAATGAAATTATACAACATGAGGCATTTTCACTTAGCTTGTTTTCAAAAGTCATCCATGTTGTAGCACATATCAACATTATACTTGTTTCTTAAAATATTATTCGCCATCTTGTGCCAAACACATATCTGATAAGAGTATAGTATCCAGAATATATAAAGAACAATAAAAAAAATGAGCAAAGGATCTGAGTAGGCATTTCTTCAAAGATATGCAAATGGCCAATGAGCACTTGAAAGGACGCTCAACACCACCAGTCATTAGAGATGCAAATCAAAACCACCATGAGATACCATCCACTTCACTTACACTAGTATGCTATAATAAAAAAGACAGACAGTAACAAGTATCAGTGAAGATATGAAAAATTTGGAACTCTCAACATTGCTGGCAAAAATGTAAAATCACACAGCCACTTGGGAAAAATAGTTTGGCAATTCCTCAGAAAGTTAAACAAGTTACCATATGGTCCAGCAGTTCCACTCCCAGGTATATACATACCCAACAGAAATGAAAACATGTTCACACAAAAATTTGAAATGAATGTTCATAATAGCATTATTCATAGCAGTCAAAAAATGGAAACAACCCAAATGCCCAACAGCTGAGTTTTGTTCTCAATTTATTTAAACATTAAAAAAAAAAAAGTTCATCCATTTCTCCCACTCACCCCCAATCCCTGCCACCAGCAACCACTTCTATGAGCTTGATTTTTACTTCTGGGGGAAGATTCCACAAATTATGAGAGATCACATGGTATTTGTTTTTCTCTGTCTGACTTATTTCACTTACCATATGCCCTCGAGGTTACTTCATGTTGTTGCAAATGTGAAGATTTCATTCTTTTTTATGAATAAATAATATCTATCTATCTATCTATCTATCTATCTATCTATCTATCTATCTATCTATCTATATATATATATAGAGAGAGAGAGAGAGAGAGAGAGAGAGAGAGAGAGAGAGATCTCACATTTTCTTTATCCATTCATCAATCAATGGGCACTTAGTTATTTCCACATCTTGACTATTGTAAATAATGCTGTGTTGAACATGGGGGTGCATATATCTTTTCAAATTAGTGTTTTCATTTTCCATGGATAAATACCCAGAAGTGGAATTGCTGGATCATATGGTAGTTATACTTTTAAATTTTTGAGGAATCTCTACACTGTTTTTCATAGCACCTGCACTATTATTAGGCATATAAAATTCAAAATCATGTCTTCCAATAAGACACCTTACATGAGTACTTGAACTGGCTCCAGAGCAATGAAAGTGGGGTTTTTCCCTTCTTTAAGGTACCATTTTCCATGTGCAACTTAAGTGGAGACCCTTATTTACATTAATCATGAAATGACCAGTTAATTTTTAACATATACTCTCTTATTACATTTTTGAGAGTTGAATCAATGCCCAGGTAAAAATTTAAACAGAAATGTCTCATAGTTGTCTAAGTTAACCAAGATAATTGGTAGCTCTCTAATTACTTGGCTATGAAAAATTATCTGGAAACCAATCAACTAAAGCTAAATTTTGGTCAAAATATTTTAGAAGCAATGAAATATGAAACTATTATATTGAAAGCATTAATATTTGTATTTTAATCATAAGAGCTATCACTCACTGTTTCTGTGTCAGACATCTGCTCCTCAAAACATCCTACAAGGCTGGATTATCCCCATTTTGCAGGTAGTAAGCAGAGGGGCAGAAGTTAAGCGAGCTGCCCAAGGCCACTAAATGGCGGACCACAGAGCTGTATATACCTGTTCTCACCTGTATTTCATAATGCAGTCACAACTCCTCCACTGTCTAAGACCAATCAAGTGAACTAGAACTCTTGGCTTAAGTTCTCAACTACAATTCATGCCAGTCTGTGAAAATGACTACAGAAAGTGAATCAATTCTGTGACTTACTATAATTAGCCCTGCCCCTCCTCAAAATAAGAAATTTACAGATGAGTTCCCATCACAAAGAAAATGACTTAGAAGGTTATTATTTGTCCATGCAATCAAAAACTGAGCTAACTGGACAGAAGCTAAAGACAAGGTGCTAATGCCAGGACAAAGCCCTGAAGCCTTACAAAGTTGTCATCCTCAATTACTGCTGTATTTCCAACACCTAATTTTAAGAACCTCAGAGCCCTGGTGAGCACACAATAGAGTATACAGACAACGAATTGTAAAGTTGTACATCTGAAGTTCTGACCAATGTTACTTCAATAAATGTAATAATAAAAAACAGAACGAACCTCAGTACTACCCATCCAAGTGGAAGTAACAAGATAAAAAAACAATGGAAATGGCTAATTAGATTGTAAATACTCAAGAAAGGGATGGATGTAATTATATGTAAATAAGTACATTCTTAAAATACTTTTAAGAAATCAACAAAGCTTAAGCCTAAACACTACCTTCTTTGTTGATAAAATGGTTTCTTGAACAAATTACCACCATCAAGAAAACATGATTATAGCACATCCACTCACCATAATTATCATGCTGTAACCCTCGGAGTTTCAAAGATGGATAAGCCTTTAAACTCCACCACCCATTAAAATGGAAACTCCTGAAGCAGAACGAAATCTCTCCCACTAAAATGAAAGCCCCAGAGGGCTGGGATCTTTCTTTTCCTCACTGCTGTGCTCCTGGCACCTACACTGGCACACAACAGGCACCTGATAAATATTTTCTAAATGAGTGTTGAAAAATCATCTACTCTAATATGCTCACTTTATCTTATCAACAAGGAAACTGAGGCTCAGAAAGACTAGGAGATTTGCCTGAGATCACAAAGCTAGGTGGGTGAAGACAAAACCAGAACTATTGTTTCCCAAACTCTAGCAATGCTCATTCCACTAAGCTTTAATTACAAATACCTAAAATCCATCATTAGTAAGTTATATAATATACTAAGTAAAGACCTTTCTACTTATCATCAACCAAAAAGAACATTGCTGTTGAACAGCCAGGCCATTAGAGAAGCATGTGGTTTTGACACAATTACCACGCTGGCATGCTCCATCTGGATTGATAAAAAGTATTCATTACTGTAACAGCTCCATGAGAAAAAGCATGCATCATTTAACAAGCAACCAAGCAGAAAACCGTCATCAATAGAGGACCAGCCCTGGTTAGGTAAGGAGCCTTGCTATGTGAAACCATTCTTTTTCTAGTGTTTAAAAAAGAAGATCAGTTCCAAGGTGCTGTCTCCACCACTAGCCTATGCTCCTGAAAACACTAGCCCTTCATCAGAGTACTACAGCAAGCAAAAGGAAGCACTTTCACAACTCTAGACACTCAAACAAAGAACTTCAAGCAAGGGGGATTCATGCTAATTAGTGGGTCCAGATGTTTCCTTAGGACCTTGAGAGAACCAAGTCTGCTCTGAGTTCTCACTGTTAACAAAATCCATGCACCTGGAACAGGGTGGGTGCTACTGCCAATGAGTGGCTCCCATCTCTGCTGAGATCACGCGCAATAAGAGATCTTTAATTTCTGCCAACATTATTTAGGGACTCAAGATTTATAAAATGGGAAAGTATGCCTTTCTAAACTTCAAAAATGGTGAGGGGATGGAGAGAGGCTTTCCTTTGAACTTTGAGAAAGACATAAACAAAAATGTGCAACAAATAACAAACCCAAATAATATCTGCAAAGCGTACGCAGTTCCAGTTTGGTCGATTCCATCTATCGTTGTGGCAGAGGATATGTAGAGCAACCTGCCAACACCCTC